ATATATAAATTTTGTGACGTCGATATTATTTTTGAACCAAATATATAGTATGTGATAATTATAGTCCTTATGACCGATCACATCTTTAAATATTTTCTTACATATAACGAGATGCATATATATATATATATATATATCACTAATTAAAAATAGGATTAAAATTATATTAATTAGGTGAGTTCATGAGCTGTTGGAGAGGCGGCAAGATTGATAAGCAGCGATTTAACCCGCTTAAATGTGGGTATCCTCCTTGCCGTCCAAAGTTTAAAGAACATATGCGAATATTTTTTTTAAAGAATATATAAGTACATATTCAATTTTTGTCTTGAGTCTGTTTTCAAGGGATTAAAAGATATTAAAGTTACGTGGTATTAAGCTATAATGTTCTATCAAATCAACCTTTTCATATCTCAATTTTTTTTTTGTTTGGCTGAAACTGGAAATTGTTTTTGTTATGAAAATTATGGAAATATTATAAGGGAGATTTGGAAATGACGAGATTCCGAAGGATGTTGCTTTCCATTCCTATGGAACTCTTTATTATATAATTATATATATTGATTCGTGCAATAAAAAGTATACATATATTTTTTTTGAAACTTTGGTACTTGCTTAGAAGATCAACGAAACGAGAAATTTTTTTTTAAATTTATTTTAATTTTTTCCGCGGTGGGTTTAAGCTGAAAAGAAAATGCAAGTCTCCGACACGGTTAAACTTCATTTTTGTCGTGGTAAAAAAGAGTAAAATTGATATTGATATTAGTTGTAATTATAGTGAAAAATAATAATGCGAAGGGGAAGGGTCAGATGTGGTGATGATGGAGGTGGTGGGTGAGTGGGGATGTTTCAGTTAAGTCCATGATTGGTGGGGTTGCGTCGCATTAGGAAATAAGACCGAACATATCTCAAAAAGATTCGGAGATGGATCTTCTTTTTTAGCATAAAGGGGATTAAGAGATGATTTTGTTCTTTTTAGTTATTTATGGCGAGAGAAAAACTAAATTACTCTTGTGTTTTCCTTCTTTTTATAGAAATCGGTAAACCTAACAAAAATAATTTATTGCAGCTACTTGTTTAGTTTTTGTCGTGGTAAAAGGATATTTGCCAAAATATTAAACTTTTTTTTTTTTTTTTTTGATAACATTGGGGAACCCCGTGACTACCTACCCTTATAAACGGAGACGAACTGGCCACCACCCGCGCCTAACAGTCCCCATAGACCTCAGTCCGCCGGACCTGGCCACCAGGCGCGCCTAACGCTCGGGCCGTAGTTGGGCTTAGGCGCCTGCGGGTCAAACCCCAAGCCCACGACGCACGAGCCTGCGACACACGCGTGGGATGTAAATCCAAAATATTAAACTTGTTCTTAATTAATCCTAAAAAGTTTTCATGTGTTATTGGTTGTATTTTTTTTGTAAAAAATTAATACATATTTATATACATATCATTTACAACGTTATCGTCCGATAGTAAAGCTATGGAAAAAAAATCATAATTTGAATATATATATATATATATATATATATATTCTAAAAACTATATAAATATATAGATTAACGGATTGATTTAGTGAGAATAATGAAAAAAAAGTAAAAAATGTTCTCTTTTGGCGCACAAGAAAACAAGGTTATTGAAGTGCTTAGCAGAAAATTTTGAAGAAAAAAAAAACTAATGTTTGTGGAAAATACGTAATGGCGGGCAGAGAAACATTCGACATTTTTTAACTATATTATATATGTTCCAAATTGTTAATATAATTTAAAGTCGCGATTTATTTGGGCGTGGGGCCGTAAATTAGCAAGACAGAGGAGTCATACTGGACTATATATTCTCATATGGTGATTTGGATTCTGCTTAATGTTAATTAATATATTAAGCCCAAAATGAATGGCCCATCAACTACATTAAAATAAAATAAAATAATCACTTAACAAAGTTCATTCCAAAGTGAGTCATACGAAGTTGAAATTGGCCCAACACATAATCTTTGGATTATACAACCTCAAAACCTTTTTGAACAATTTCAAAATTATATATCTTATTCATATTCTCACTACGTTTCTACAAGAAAACTTATTCATATTATGATTTTAAAATTCAGAAAAACTTACGAAAAAGGGTGAGTGATCCAATCACATAGATTTCCATATAATGAGTTCTTCCACAAAACTTGTTTTATATATTTCATAACAGCTAAGAAAATATATCATCATCATCATCATCATTAATGGACCATGCAGTTTTTTATTAAAAAAACAAATGAAGAAAACAAGTTTCAGCGTTTGACCATCTGTTCATTACTCCTTGTAGACAATTCGTTAACTAAATCTTATAACATGGGGTTTTTTACCATTTTAGGTTACAAATATAGATATATGATTGTTCCACAATTATACTACCGTCTCATATATACATATGTGTGTATATATGGGTGTGTCTGGTAATTTTTTTTTTTTGATAATTCGGAAGTTCACCGGATTTTTGATCCAACTACATCTTGTAGAAAACCGGGTAACTCATGTGAAAACTCTTTCCACCGTATAATATTAACTACAAAGTACAAACTGTAGGGTTGGTGTGTCTGGTAGTTAAATGTGTCTATCAACCTACGAGCACGGCATGAGCCTTGACTTAATCAAATGGGTGTTTTTTTTTTCATTTATTTTATTTTTGTTTGATAACTCGGCCTTTTTCTATGTGGTGAAGAGTCATTTAACACTTGTTGACGAGACATTTTGTACTTTGCTTGTACGGATTTTTTTTCCTAATTTTTAAGAAAAGATATTTCAAATTTTTTAGTGATCAAGCTTCTGGATAAAAAAAATAAAGTCAAAATTTTGTTCACATATTTTTTTATTTTTTCGAAACCATATATGTTTTTATTTTTTACCGATAGATTTAATATGTTAATATATGATAATTTAAATGTTGTGAAAAAGAAAAATAAATATAAAAATAATTTATATATCTAATTGAAGTATTAAATACGTTTCCTTTAGGTGCCAACTTTTGAAAAATTCAAATTTTAAACATCAATCTAAAATTCAATTCGACTAAAAGTGTGAATAATCAAAAGTCATCAGTAAACTTTTTGCAATTATCTTTAAACATAGAAAGGCTAAAAGAGTAAACATTGAAGCTTATTTTAAATTATTTTAAGAACAGAGCCTGTGTGTTTGAAACTCCAAGCGAGGAAAAATTGATGTTGATTGTGCGTGTGTATAATATTTTATAAGTTAACATTAATAAAACAATAGCAACACGCGGGAGAATGCTATAAATATTTTTTTTTATAATTTGGTCTATATATTTATTTAAGTTTTATATTTTACATATAATGATAATTATTTATATGACTGCTAAAAAAATTAATATACCAAGCTTTTACGTGATACTGTATTTCAGAAATTCCATATAGAAAAATATTCTCCATAAAGTCAACCATATTTGATACATTAATTTACAAAATGTTATTTACCAAATTTTCAAAGAATGTGTAACCCTGCATGTATGCTTTCTTCGATCTGAAAGCTAGACTTCGATCAAAAAATGTGTCCACCCATCGCGTCTTATAATTTTCTAACAAATGGGCACCTAATTAGATATATAAAATATCCATATATATATATATACATGTCATATTCAAATATGTATAGTATTGTTCTGGTTTCATAAATACGTTTTTGTTTATCTTAGTCGTGCCAGTAAGTGATTGGTACGAGAGTTTATATTTCCACTATCCATCAAAATTATTTATGTTCATGTAAACTATTAGAATCTTCCATATTAGTCTATAAATGTAATACAAAGAAACCTTTTCATTAAATAAAAATTAAATCTCATATCTAAACTTATCTTCGATTTCGATTGATAATTAACAAATTATAATGAAAACAATTTTTTTCTATTCTCAATATTAATAATCTTAAAAGTTCTTGTAGATTTTTGAAAAAATGTAAAAACATAAAATAAAACAAAATGAACAGGAGAATTCAAGGGTAATGTGAAAGACAAATTAGGAAAAGGGAGAAAATACCAACCAAGGGAGACTGAATGCACGCGCCACGATGCGCGTGTAAGAGAGAGAGCATGCGAATAGTAAAACACTCTAGAGTGTCTGACCAACGACTCCACAACTTTCCCGGATTTCTGATTGGGTACTTCGTGACGTACGCATGACTCATCACAAAAAGTTTCGTACGAAAAGAAAAGTACTCCCGTACTTATCGTAATTACTAAAATGCCCTTATTCGGATTTACGTTTATTTAGTTTAGACCCCAACAATAATAAACACCCCCCATACATTCACGTAAATTGTAGTATTTGATTAGATTACAATGATACACGATATAAAATTTACTTAGTAGAGCAAAACATTAATGATACAAAGTATATGGTTAATTTATTGAAAAATATATAGTCGATATCAATATATACTACTACACTAAATTTTATTTAATTTATTGAAATGTAGTCAACAATAATATATAATAACATGAGCTACCAAACTAATCATTTAAAAAATCTATGGCATAACCTCACAATTTAAGACTCTATCTTATAAATAAAAACGATTATATATATATAGAATGGAAATTTAAAACTTTGCATTTCTACTATGAACAGGAAGATATCATAACTTCAAGTAATATGTGTATTAAAATAAATGTATAATAAGAGTAAGAAATCAAACACTTGGAAGAGATCTCAAGGTCAAGGGTATCAAAATTTATCACTTTTGATTATGACAGATTTTATATATTGGACGGTGTAATCATTTTTTTTTTCAGTTAATCTAGTTATATTGAGGGTTTTTCTCTTAACTTAATTCATATTTAAAAAAATAAAAATAAAATGAATGTTTAAGAAGAAACAAAGGGCAAAGAGGGGATTTCGACACTAGATGTAGCAAAAGTCAATGCCTAAGCACAAGCTGCTTCTCTTACCCCCCCCCCCCCCAATCAAGTTCAATAAGTCATCATTTTCATTTTCAATTTTACTTCCTCATCATAAACCGATGGAAAGAGGGAGAGAGATGGAGATGATAAGCAACATGGCGAGTTGCTTGATCCTTCTGTCGAACTCCACGTCGAACCAAAACGACATCGGAAAACGCGTTTTCACATGCAAGACGTGCAGCAAGGTGTTCCCGTCGTTTCAAGCCTTGGGGGGCCACCGTGCGAGTCATCGGAGATCGGCGGTAGTCGACGGAGAAGCACCGCCGTGGCCGAGGCGTCTCAAGCAGGCGAAGCACGACTGCCCCATCTGCGGCGCCGAGTTCGCCGTGGGCCAAGCTTTGGGGGGTCACATGAGGAAGCATAAAGGAGGAGCTCACGCCGCCGACGCCGGTGGAGGCGGAGTTGGCCAGAGATCATGCGAGGAGGCGGAGGTGTTGCGTGCATCGCCGGTGACGATGAAGAAATCTGGCGGCGGAAGTGGGAAAAGGGTTTTGTGTTTGGATTTGAATCTTACGCCGTTGGAGAACGAAGATTTGAAGCTGGAGCTTGGGAGGATGGCCTTATAGTTTTTATATTTTTTTTTACATGTACGTTTATTTTTGTGATTATTAATTAGCTCGTTTAGTTGATTTTTTTTTATGGTCTTGGACTACTACTTATGTACAGAACATTGCACACCACAAGTGAATCTATCCGATGTAGATACAGAAACAATATTTTAATTTTTGGTCACTATCTTTAATTTTCTTCTTCTTGAATTTCACATACATACATATATATATATATATATATATATATATTATGATGCAGGGACTCGGCTTGAAATACCGAACGTCTTTGTTACATATAAAGAAAACTAAAACTTTGTAGAAAGACACAAATCCATTTAGTAAGACCAATTGAAAAAAATGGTTTTTGAAAGGAGATTCAGATAAAGAAGAGTTCAACTGCAGGGGCAAATCCGTAAATTAGACTTATGTCTTAAAAGTAGGAAAGTTTAGTTAAACGTGCAAGCGTATCTGTAAACTCGAGAAACTGCAACATCAAAGACCTCCCGTCCTCCGTTTTCTGTATTGCCCAAACAACAACAAGACAACTTTTTTTTTTTTGTGTTTCTTCGAACATCGCCTAAGTAAACAAATCTGTTCCACGCCGTACACCAAATCCGTAGACATGTACGGTCGTATTCCGTCTCTGATGGAACCGTTTCTCCGGCGAATCACGGCGCGTTGGCCGGTCTTCGTCCGGGCAACCACGTGGACTTTGCTGCTGATGTTCACGGTGGCCGTCGCGTCGTTCTCTGCAGAGATGGCGTTTGTTGCGGCGACGTTGTCGTCGGAGAAGCCGTGCGGCGGCGGTGGAGGAGAAGGGTTTTTGAGGATGCCTCTGGATTTTCCGGCGGAGAGAGTGTGCGTTTCCTTCTCACGTGGTGAAGAGATCTTCGTTGGATTTTTTCGTTCCGGCGATATTCGCGGCGGTGATGGTGACTGCTTCGGCATGTGTACTCAGATCTTGTTTCGGGATTGAGAGTAATGTAGATAGGCTTTGACCTCTTGCTTGTTTTTTCTTTTTGTAATTGATGATGATAATTCATTTGATTGTTGAAGAAACGAAGAAGTCCTGACATTTAATATTTCTCGGAAACAAGCCGCTTCTTGGGGAGGAGATAAAGTTCCATGGGTATATGAATTACACTAAATAAAAAGGTTAATTTCCATAAAAAAATTACTTATGTGTAAAAAAAACAACAAAAATATCTCAAATTTACTTAAATTATCAAATCAACTTGTCAATTTTCAAAATAATATCAAATCATCACATTTTTGTTTGTTCGAAAATTGTCTAAAGTTTTAGATTTTCTAATTTTAATCTATTATACAAATTGGGTCCTTAGCTCAGTGGTAGAGCATTTGACTGCAGATCAAGAGGTCACCGGTTCGAACCCGGTAGGGCCCTTTTTTCCAAGTGGCAATTATTACATTTTTTTTTACCATGTGAGTTTTTTTTATTACAAGACAGGATTAAATTGCAATTGCATAAAATATTTCTAATCATCACAAACTCCCCACCTGCCCTATATTTTTCACAAGTATCCTTGTACAAAGGCGTTACATATTTAGAATTGGTCAAAACAATTTCAAATCGTCATCAGCACACGATTTGGAAACCTTTTTTTTTTTGGGAACAAAACACAGAGAAATCGGTCGAAAGAACAAAGGGAAAAAAAACTTTCTCTTATTGAATCTCGATCCATTATCGCCTTGCTTAGGAAGGTAATTCTATCTGTTCTTCAATTAGTAGGGCTTCTGTTTCTGCACTCGAAGTGGGTATTATATGATCGCCATTGACGTGGGTTTCTGTATGAATATAGGTTGAGCGAGCGGACACTAAGACTCGGTAAAAATGGCGAACAGGGATTGATCACGAGAATGACTACTTGTTCAAGATCGTGTTGATCGGTGATTCGGGTGTCGGAAAATCCAACATTCTCTCGAGAGTTTACCAGAAATGAATTATGCTTTGAATCCAAATCGACAATAGGCGTCGAATTCGCCACTAGGACGTTGCAGGTGACCCATCTTCTCCTCTCTTCTCCTTTTTCCAGTTCAGGAAGATTTCGACATTGATCACAGCTTTTTGTCTTGGCCCTTTGTCCGAATTGTTTGTCTCATGGATGATGGATCGGGCTTGAAGCGATTTCTTAGTGCCCTTTTTGCTTCCATATGAACTGGAGTTTATAGGTTGACTTTTCAATTTCTTGGTGGCCTTCTGTTCAGTAATCGGAAAATCTCATCCTTCATGTATCAGATATGTCTATCTGGTCTGAAGCTGTTCTCTTGTGTGGAAAATCTTCTTAGGTGTTTTGTATGTTTCTAGACATGGGTTTGTCTTTCTTTCATGGGTTTGATCTGGTTTGTTGCGTGAAGTAACTGGACCGGGACAAAGCTATAACAGTCGGAACTGTAAGATGCTTATCGGGTGGGCGGGACTGAAATTTCTCGGGGCATGGCATTGGAACAGGTAGAAGGCAAGACAGTGAAGGCTCAGATGTGGGACACAGCAGGTCAAGAGCTTTACCGGGCGATCACCAGCGCTTACTACAGAGGTGCAGTGGGGGCACTCCTCGTCTACGACATCACCAAGAGACAAACCTTCGAGAATGTCCTGAGGTGGTAACGTGAGCTGAGGGACCATGCTGATTCAAACATTGTCATCATGATGGCTGGCAACAAATCTGATCTGAACCACCTGAGATCCATCTCTGATGAGGATGGCTGGTTTCTGGCCGAGAAGGAAGGCTTGTCCTTTCTCGAGATGTCTGCGTTGGAAGCAACCAACATTGAGAAAGCATTTCAGACAATGTTATCTGATATATATCATATCATCAGCAAGAAAGCTTTAGCGGCACAAGAAGCAGCGGTAGTTCCTGGACAGGGAACTGCCATCAACATCTCAGACACGTCCGGAGGCAACAGAAGAAAATGTTGCTCTACCTAGTCCACGCTATAGCCAAAAAAAAAAAAGATTCCGTGTTTCTTTCGTGTATTTATCTTCACATCTTTGCCGGTTTTGGGCTTAATGAAGTGAGTATAGAATTTATCTTTCCATCTTTATTCACTGTCTCAGGCTGTGTTACAAAAGGCAAAAGCTACCATATCATGTTTTGTTCTATCTAAAAACTTGCAGATGCATACACTGATGAACCTCTTGGCTATTCCGGTTCGACTTGTACCGTCACATGATGAATCCCATAAGCCTTTCTGCAGAAGTTTCTGACATCGGAGAGGATGTCCCTAGGGCTTGCTCCGGGGTTAGCCAAGACATGACAAGACAACACGATTCTCCCCACCGTTATCTCCCAGACATGGAGATCATGAACATCCTGAACTCCATTGATATGTCTGAGGCCTCTCTCGAGCTTGGCTATGTCCACATTGCCCGGCACGCTCTCCATCAGTATGCTGAATATGTTCTTGAGCATCGGGATGGTAGCAGAAAGAGCAAAGGCAGAGAATACAAGAGTACAGATCAAATCGACCAGTAACCACTGGGGTTTTGCCCATATGATGGCTCCACCTATCATGACACCAAGTGACTGAATCATGTCAGCCATCACATGAAGGTAAGCTCCTTGGATGTTAATGTTCATCATCTTCGAGCTTTTTCCTGAACCACCCCGTAAAAGATCCGTCTCCTCGCTCTCATTATGTTTGCAACCATGATGATGGTGGTGATGATGATGATCATTGTGGCCGTGTCCTAACCATATGAACATAAACAAGTTCACAAAGAACCCGAATGCTGAAATCAGAAACATGATTTCACCATTCACCTCTCTGGTTCTGCTGAGAAGCCTTTCGACGGCTTCGTGGATCAGAACTCCGGACACCAGCCATATGAGCTGAACGGACAAGAGGGCCCCAAGAACTTCGAGCCGCTTGAATCCGTAAGAGTTGCGAGGATCTGCGTCCAGACTCGAAATCTTGATCGCCATGAGAGAAACCGAGAAACCCGCCACGTCAGTGAGCAGATGCACAGCATCTGTAATAACGGCGAGGCTATTAGCCTTTAACCCTCCAACGATCTGGATGGACATCACTACGAGGTATAGAAAGATTAGGCTGACGAGTCTTCTGACGGATTCTTCGCGTTCTTTGGAATCGGAATTTCTCTGTTCTTTCCCGGAAAATGCGCAATTCATTCCGCAAGACATAGGAGCTCCTCCTGTTCTGTCCGAGGATTCTGGTGACTCGACATCATCGTCGGACTTCGAAATGCAGATATGCCCGAGTTCCATCAGCTTCAGGACACGAACAATCTGAGACGAAGGGGACGTTAGAATCATTTCGAAACAAGCGAAGCAATACGAAAAGGATGAAAGAAGACATTTTTCCTGTCGAATTTCTATGGAAATGCCTCGAACTTGAAGATGGTCGAAGATCTAACAAAACCCATTTCACGAATTTAAGAAAAGAAACAGAGATTCAAAGAGGCACGAAACGAACCTCGACACCAAACGAAGAAGATGAACTCTGGTGCTCTGTTTTTCCAAAGTTCTCGGCTTTTTTTTTTGTCTATCGTTTCATCCAAACAGCATTTTTCTGGGCAGAGAGTGCAAAATCATCCAACACAATGGGATCCGTGTCCTTTAAATATGCCGTTTAATTGTTCGCCGTTAGTTTTGGGGGTTGGAATCTCCGCGATGTTCGCCGTCAAAGTTAACGGAGTTGGAATCTAAATATGTCGCTGTGACTTGTCACGGGTGAAAGCGAATACTCTCTCCATTCTGGGGGCCGACAGTAATTATTAAACATACTAGAAGTAATTTGCACGGAGAGTATTTAATTTTTCAATCGAAAGGAATATTTAATTTAACATATTTCTTTATATTTAAATTGAATATGATATTCGAATAGATTGAATAGGATTTTTTTAGTTAGAGTCTTCTACTTATAGAACATAAAAAAAATAAGTAAAAAGGGAAAGAACCAAATTTTAGAGAATATATATTTGCTTTGGGTAAATGAGAATAAATATTTTTATAAATAGAAATCAAAATTTCAAGTTATTTACAATTTTACATAAAAACAAGCCGATATCTCCATTCTATCGTCACAAGAACAATGGCAAAAAATCCATGTTGAATATCTTCCAATACGTAGTATAATTTTATATAGAATTTAACGAATTAAGTAATTTATCCGAAATAAGAACGAAATTATATATAAATATTTATACTTTAGTGTTGGCGTGGAACTCAGCAGAGAAATAGCCCTATTGTGAAAGGCCCACAAGGCCCAATTCAAACGATCCATGGCCCATTCCGAAGACAATATATAAAATATAAATAGGAAAAAAAAAAAACAAAACGGATGATGAACCAATCAATCTGAGGCATCGGTCGCCTCTCCCGTCTCTCGTCGAACGCAACGGCAAGATAGTTTCGTTCGGAATCTCCGATCTTGTGCTCTTCATTTTTTGGAATTTTTGAATCGGCGGATCGAAATCTCATCGAATCACTTCAATTTTCCGTTCTCGAGTGATCGGAAAATGGCGGAGCAGCAAAGGGCGATGGAACCGGCGGTTCTGGACGATATAATATGTCGTTTGGTGGGATTTCGGAACACGAGGCCGGGATCTGGGAAGCAAGTTCATCTCAACGAAGGTGAAATTCGTCAGCTTTGTACCGTCTCCAGAGAAATCTTCCTTCAGCAACCCAATCTTCTCGAGCTTGAAGCGCCCATCAAGATCTGCGGTCAGATTTTCATGTCTTTTTCTTTTGAATCTTTTGGGTCTTGCTTGTGTATTTTATTCTTTTGTTGTTTTCATCGGTTTCTTCATTCTTGTACTCGACTTCAATTACGTGCACCTGGGTCTGTGTATGTGAGCTGAAAGTGGTTGAATCTGATTCTAGTTCTAATGGGAATGAGAAAATTGATGCATGGTTATGAATTTATGGCCGCCCTTCGTAGAACAGTTCAATACCCATGAAGTGAATTTTGACACTGAATGTTAATTGAACAACAGTGAATGTGTATAATGTATCTGAGTTTTGAGCTTAAATGCTGGTTCGAGCAAATTGAACAATATCGACAATGACATTCTGAATGCTGTGGCTGTTAAAGTTGTGGTATTTGATTTGGTTTGGTCTGGTTCCTGGGAAAGCTTCTGCCTTTGGTTTCTCTTGCATATGCCCATGTTTTCTTCAACTTCGATATGTGATTGTTCCGTCTTTTCATCTTTCTCGTGAAATTTTGCAGGTGATATTCATGGGCAATACACAGACTTGTTGAGGCTTTTCGAGTACGGAGGTTTTCCTCCAGAGGCGAATTACTTATTCTTAGGTGACTATGTAGATCGTGGCAAGCAAAGCTTGGAAACGATATGCCTTCTCCTAGCTTACAAGATCAAGTACCCCGAGAACTTCTTCTTACTGAGAGGGAATCACGAATGTGCCTCTATCAATCGCATTTATGGTTTTTACGACGAGTGCAAACGAAGGTTCAATGTCAGACTCTGGAAAACATTCACCGATTGCTTCAACTGCCTTCCCGTTGCCGCCTTAATTGACGACAGAATATTATGTATGCATGGTGGGATTTCACCGGATTTGACAAGTTTTGACCAGATTAGGAATATGCCACGCCCTATGGATATTCCGGATTCGGGTTTGGTGTGTGATTTGCTGTGGTCGGATCCTAGTGGAGACATCAAGGGCTGGGGAATGAATGATCGCGGTGTTTCATACACGTTCGGACCCGATAAAGTTGCGGAATTTCTGCTAAAGAACGATATGGACCTTATCTGCCGTGCCCACCAGGTTTTGATCAAATTTTGACTAATTTCCAAAGTCAGGGCAGGTTTAATCCAGGGTGTTTGCTTATTCTTGTTCCAGGTTGTTGAAGACGGGTATGAATTCTTTGCCGAAAGGCAGCTTGTAACGATATTTTCTGCTCCTAACTACTGTGGAGAATTCGATAATGCTGGGGCAATGATGAGCGTGGATGACGGGTTAATGTGCTCGTTCCAGATTCTCAAGCCTGCTGATAAGAGATCTCAGTTCCTATGACAGAAGATGATGACGACTCGGTTTGCTATAACGTTTTAAGCCCGGAATTCTTCAAAAGGTAAGATATTTCAAAGCTGCAAAACCCTGCCTCTTGAGTTTTATGTTTCTGCTGCCTAAGCTCGGATTTCGGATTTTTGAACGTTTTTTTTCTATTTCTGGGATATTGATTCTCTTGTAGAATTCGTTGAGCTGCTTGCTGCTCGGCCGGCCGTCTGTTGTAAGGTGTGGCTGTTGGCCGGCTGGAAGCAGAGGATGTAACAACTCCGAAATCATTGGACGCCCTCACATTAGTTTCAGAAACATTTTGCTTTTGAGATCCCACATAACATTTGATATAAGAATGATCCAAGTTTGTATTACCAGAGATTACACCAATATTTTCTTTTTTCATGAATCTTAGACATTCGACTTTGAAGTTTGATGAACTTGTCCTTGATGTAACCAAAGAAATGAAATATATTAACATTGTAAAACAGCCGTCTGGGTGGTGTAGTTGGTTATCATGCTAGTCTCACACACTAGAGGTCCCCGGTTCGAACCCGGGCTCAGACATTTAATTTTTTTCAATAATTTTGTGGCAGATGCGTCAATAATTTTATTACTCAATCATCCAAATCCGATTTTGGAGATACAAAAAAAAAAAAAAAAAAAAAAAAAAGCGAGATTTCTCGCTAACTGGTTAATAGCTCCTGCATATATCCACATTCGTGGTAGCTGAATCAGTTTATGTTTCATGGTAGCTGAATCAGTTCATGTACAACAGTTACAACACATGGGAATGTTTTATATCTTTGTACCTTTTGTTGCATTATAGATGGATCCAACGCTTGTAGAGACAATCCCTGCAATAGAGGAGATGAACACAATGTTTCCGAATCCCGTGGCCTTGACCAAAGGATGTGCCAGCTGGGATAAATGGTAAGCCGACTCGAGATTTGTGGTAATGTGAAAAGAGAAATCTTCTGCAGTGTATTCAGTCGTCGGCTTTACGATACTTGTGCCAACGTTGTTTATCTACAACGAGAGATAAGCGACGATGATACATGCTCTCCTGATGTTTGTCTCTAAGGAAAACTCATAAACTATATGCATTTAACTCTTCTTTTGTCAAGATGCTCAAGAACGAACACTATCTGCACAGAATCAGATGGTCGGGAATCACTTACGAGGATGTTGAGTTTCCCGTCGAACGCAGAGGAGACAGTCTGCATCAGTTTCTCTCTCTCGGGGCGAGAGGACACATCACAGACTGAACCGGTAACTTGAAAGCCCTTTGTTTGCCATTCGCGTAAGCATTGGTCAAGCAGAGACTGATTTCTGGCACAAGTATGGACTCTTGCCCCGAAACCTGCAAGTTCCTCCACTATCGCATACCTAAATGATTCGTTGAAAAACACCCAAGTCAGAGATCGGCGTCATGAGCTCTGTCTATGGTAGTCATGACGATTGACAAGAAAGAACTCCATTATGTCTCTTTCCTCCCCTTTTCCTCTCTGTGATAGTTTGTAGGACTAAGTGGTTCTCTTTTTAATTATAAAAAAATAAAATTTGGACTTTATTCGATTTTAGAGTTTTTTTAAGGCAATGTGGAAAATTACTCGAATTAAAAAAATTGTACTACCTTTTTTATGATCAAATTGGCCATAAAAGTCTCCAAAAAAACTTTCTTATATTGCATTCTTATCACGCTATTACATATTCATCCATATGTTTTCTTGTATATCTCTTCTTCCCCTAAAAACCTATGGAGATTTGTAAATTAATGAGAGAGAGTGAGAGAGAGAGAGATATATTACAAAATAAAAAAATTTAAAAGGTATATGGTTGCGGTCCATGTCATCATTCAAGTTCCACTTGTATATTAGTGAATATTATTCGAACATACGAACTAGTTTTACATGCATGCATGCATACATACATACATAAAATAAATATATATATATTTTTTGTCCAAAATCAATTCAATTAAACATAGAATAAATATTTGAAGATACTATATTAAATATTTTAAACCCAAATGTTAAAATAATCAAAACCAGATCCTAACAATAATTTGCAATATTCATTCACCCACAGATTAGGCGTATTTGCTTCCACGTTCGGCAAAACTACCTCCGCCCCCCGCCCCAAGACTCAATCGTTGGATTTCATTCCGCATCAGTCCCTTTCGAAAGCGAAAGGATGAACAATTGGAAATTTGTATATAGAAATTAAATTTCCATTTTTTTTTATAAAAAAAAATACATTTAAAGGCAGCCACCAGAGAGAGAGAGATAGAGAGTCTGAGGATCCAGATTCCCTTTGCTTGACAGACTGTCTCCTCACTCGTGGCCCCTTCTTCTTTCTCTCTTCCGCTACTACTCTCTCTCTCTCTCTCTCTCTAGATTTTTCCATCCCCATCGCATTGATCGAACGAGCAAGCTCCCTGTTCCATGGCTTCCTTCGTCGAATTTGGTTGGCAGGTTCTTTTTCTCTCCATCTCCGTCTTCCTCTTTCTCCTCCTCGTGTTTCTGATTTCCTCGTTTTCTCCGTTCCGCGTTTTCACCCTCCGATTTCGCTCTGCGTTATTCGTTTCCGGCGTCTTCTTTCACGGCATTGTGATGCTAGTGTGTCTGCGTGATGGCTCTCGCGATTTGGTCAACCTCACTAGATTTTTTTTTTTGGTTGGTGTGGTCCCTGTGATTTAGATTTAGATTCCTGCCGGTTGCATTGCTGTGTCAGATCTTGATTTGAGCGTGTTAGTGCCATCCAAGTCTCTGTTAGTACTTGGAGTTTGAGCGGATTTAGTCCTCCATCGGGTATTTCACTTGGCCTCTGCTCGATCGGTTTACTGACCTGTAGATTTCTGAATTGAACAGTCGGGATTTTAAGTGATTGGTGAGCAAAATTACCATTCTGGTGGATTACTGCTTAGATATATTGCATGGATTTTTGGTTCCATAGATCGCTTTTGGTTTTAGATCCTTTTGGACGTAAGAATCATCCAAGCCGGTTTTGGTACAGAGAGTCAGAGACATTGATGTTTCGATGCTTGGGATGATTACGATGAATGAACTTATGCTGATAGGCCTTACTTCTCCTCGAGCATGTCATTCTGTAGGCTTCTATTCAATGAGTGAGTCTTGATTGATGAGATCAGCATGTTTTTTGAGAAAGTGAGGACTGACACTTGTTTTTTTTCCCCATAAATCATGCAGTATCTTACAACACATTTTAGCGACTTTCAACTAGCGTGCATTGGGAGTTTTGTCCTCCATGAAAGCGTGTTTTTCTTGTCGGGACTTCCTTTCATCTATTTAGAAAGGGCTGGTCTACTGGGCAAGTACAAAATTCAGGTTTGTGTTTTCTTATTCTCGTCGGTTAATGTCTCTTTCAGGTATGTGTTCGCAAATATAGCTTTGCATGCTCTTTTGTGTATGATGAACGACCTAGAAACCGACTAAGAATCAGTCATATGTGAGTTTGCTGTCTTTTCCGAGCTTTGAGCATGATAATTGTTTCTACTTTTGATCAAATTTCTGCCCAAGTTCAAGCACCACTTTTATGTCAACATTATGGTCGCTTGGTCCCTTGCAGGAAAAAAATAACAGCCCTGCAGCTCAGGAGAAATGTATAGCTCGTTTGCTACTTTACCATTTCTGTGTAAATTTGCCATTGATGATGGTTTCCTATCCTGTCTTCAAGCTCATGGGCATGCGGAGTAGTCTTCCTCTGCCGTCCTGGTATTATCAGGTTCTTTAGTGCTGAAGCTTTTTCCTTTGGGTTCTGACGTTTAAATCTTCCCATTGGCACTATATCAATATGTGAGCTTTGAGCTGCATGAGAGGACTAACTCTTTGTACGGCATGTCATACAGTCTTTTGGTCATCCTCTTGCAGGAAAGTCATGTCGGCCCAAATACTCTTCTACTTCATCATTGAGGATTTCGTGTTCTACTGGGGACACCGGATCTTGCACACAAAATGGCTATATAAGAACGTGCACAGTGTACATCATGAGTGAGTTTTAGTATTAACCTTTTTCCGTACGTGCTCCGACAGTGTTAATGTGTGATGGTCCTTATTGTCGTCATTTTTTATGAGATATCACCAGATATGCGACACCATTTGGTTTGACATCGGAATATGCCCATCCTGCTGAGATTCTGTTCCTGGGTTTTGCTACCATAGTCGGCCCTGCTCTCACAGGTCCCCACCTGATAACTCTGTGGTTGTGGATGGTGCTAAGAGTCCTCGAGACAGTTGAGGCACATTGTGGTTATCATTTCCCATGGAGCCCCTCGAATTTTCTTCCTCTCTATGGCGGGTAAAGGATCAAAACCTATCTTAAGTAGTAATCGCCAATAATCTTATATAGTTTCATAAATTTTGGTTTTTTTTCCAATTTATTTACAGTGCTGACTTCCATGATTATCATCACCGACTGCTCTACACAAAGTCTGGCAACTATTCATCGACCTTTGTCTACATGGACTGGTATAGGATACATCTGAAGTCTTATCCTTGAAGCTTCTTATCAATATACACAACCGATTGAATATGTGTGATAAATAATGAGGATTAGTTTGAGTTCTCATGGTATGTATGATCCCAATGGAATGTTCTGAAATCTGCCAATTAATGCATAATTGTTTCGTGTGTTTTTGTTTCTCAAAAGGGTTTTTGGCACGGACAAGGGTTACAGAAAACTGAAGGCCCTAAAGAACCAGGGAGATGAAGCTGACAGCAGCAAGCAAACATGAGCTTCTTCTGTTTGGTTTCAATCCGCTGGCATCTCCGGAGAGGTCTCTCTCAGTCTCTCTCTCTCTCTCTCTCTCGTCTGTGCATTGTCTAGAATCAGTTACTTGTGTCACAATGTGGTATCGGCGGAATTGTTTCTTGGAAACTTGTTAGGGGGCTTTTTTTTATCCATCCGAAGAGCTAGTACCATGTTGTTTGCAACACTTTGGTTTTCAAAAGTTGGTGCACAATCCAATGCATAAATACCTAATTTTTTTAAGTAAATTGCACCGTTGAATCTATTCTGAGAAGCCCTACAACATCATCTCTTAGTGTCAAATATGAAATCCTTGCCAATACCCTATCAGTTAACTAGCAAGTCCTATATTTGTACCTAGAAGACTGTATTTAGCCATATCTAGTCTCTTCACTTCATATTTCCATCTATAACTTTGTTCTGCTAATCATATTATAATCATTTCGTATTTTACATATATATACGCATACATAGAAGGAGAAAGTCTTACGTATTTGGCACATCACAGCCGCATTTTATTTAAAAAAGGGTTTAAGCCCGAATCTCTTTTGTCTAGAAGAGAGAGCTTCAAAGGGTTTAAGCCCGAGGCTGATAGGAGAAGCCATTAATGGTGAGACCTCCATCGACACAAATGGTCTGTCCTGTTATGTAAGAAGCTGCAGGTAGACACAGAAACGCCACCAGCGATGAAACCTCTCTCGGTTCTCCGACACGAGCCAATGGCTTTCTCGAGATCACCGCCTTCAAGAAGTTGTCGTCGCCTAAAACCTGAAAACCAACATGTGAACAGAGAACTAAACAACGAGAAGTTAATAACGCTTGGAATGCTCGGACAAAGGGACAGTGTCTTGAGTTACAGCAGTTTCAGCCATAGGAGTTGCAATGAAACCAGGAGCGACAGAGTTAACCCTTATGTCGTCACTCGCCCACTCACACGCGAGATTTCTCGCTAACTGGTTAATAGCTCCTGCATATATCCACATTCGTGGTAGCTGAATCAGTTTATGTTTCATGGTAGCTGAATCAGTTCATGTACAACAGTTACAACACATGGGAATGTTTTATATCTTTGTACCTTTTGTTGCATTATAGATGGATCCAACGCTTGTAGAGACAATCCCTGCAATAGAGGAGATGAACACAATGTTTCCGAATCCCGTGGCCTTGACCAAAGGATGTGCCAGCTGGGATAAATGGTAAGCCGACTCGAGATTTGTGGTAATGTGAAAAGAGAAATCTTCTGCAGTGTATTCAGTCGTCGGCTTTACGATACTTGTGCCAACGTTGTTTATCTACAACGAGAGATAAGCGACGATGATACATGCTCTCCTGATGTTTGTCTCTAAGGAAAACTCATAAACTATATGCATTTAACTCTTCTTTTGTCAAGATGCTCAAGAACGAACACTATCTGCACAGAATCAGATGGTCGGGAATCACTTACGAGGATGTTGAGTTTCCCGTCGAACGCAGAGGAGACAGTCTGCATCAGTTTCTCTCTCTCGGGGCGAGAGGACACATCACAGACTGAACCGGTAACTTGAAAGCCCTTTGTTTGCCATTCGCGTAAGCATTGGTCAAGCAGAGACTGATTTCTGGCACAAGTATGGACTCTTGCCCCGAAACCTGCAAGTTCCTCCACTATCGCATACCTAAATGATTCGTTGAAAAACACCCAAGTCAGAGATCGGCGTCATGAGCTCTGTCTATTCCTTCCTTTTCTTTTCTGAAACTCCCTATGTTCATTCTTGTATCATATAATATAAGATCGAAAGGAAACAAAAATCAGGCCTTAGGCTTTAGGGAGCATGGAAAATCCATTAGAGAAAGATGAAGACGAACCCAATGCCTTGAGTGCCACCAGTGACGAGAGCGGTCATTCCTCGAAGACTCCATCTCCTGTCTCTGCAGATCTTCTCTGTTTCGGCCATTGCTGATTAATTATTGTAATGTAACTTAGCCAAAGATGATCATGGAAGCTGAAGAGCCCTCAAAAAAGACGCCTTTGGAAGTTGTCAAAACGAATTTGTCTGTCATAAGGGACAAAAAGACAATTTTTTTTTGTAACCGGGTGTGTTGGACCGAATCCAAACTAATATCGAGATCGAGGGTAAGATATGTGATTGAAATTACGATCCTTTCTCAACTCAAAGGATCACAGGACTTTTGCAGCACAACAGATTGGACCTGTGTCCAGATGGATAGTGACAGTCATGTAATAATAATATGACTCGGCAAGGAAGAAAAACAGATCACCATGTTTTGGAAAAATCCATTACTTTGTCTAACAAAGACTTTCAACTGTCTGTTTCGGAGTTCTTTTGTCTTCCTCTGTATCTGATAATTGAATAATAGTTTTAGTTTGATTTAGCGTGACGCGATATGAGTTTATTAGGTTTGTTATGTTTTTTTGGGCGAGCGAAGCCTCTAGCTTATGCAGAGGGTTTCGGTTTGGCCGTACCGGGACGAGATTGAGAATCGGTATCCAGTTTTAGGCAAAACGGTGCGTTTCGTGTCTTCGGGGTTTGAGATTTAATAAAATTAAACGCTGCGTATTGGAGCCGAGGGCTAAATGGTAAACTCGCAGTCGAATTTCGTTAAGTCGGTTATACTAGATTTCGGTATAAAGCCATAAAATTCGACTGGTTTTCTGCAGTTAGTAATTCATTTTTTTCCTTTCGATTTTCGATGATTCTCTGTGGCGGAGCTCACGGGGTTTGTGAATCTGGTCAATCCCGTATTGGCTGTCAGTAGGATCGATTTGATCCGAAAACGTTAAATCTTGGTCCGGTTGTTTCGTTCTTTAGTTTTCGGCAAATCAAAGTTCTTGCCCGACAGGTCCTCGATGATCATATATAGTACAAGCGGTATCAGACATCCCTTGGTGACAAAGAGATCCTTCGCCGTTGAGATTTCACCATCCTGGTTACAAAAAGGGAGGTTTATCGAGCCAAATTTAGATTCTCAACGCAATTTTTGAGGATCTGATATTCGGGGATCACAGAGATGAGATCGATGCCGACTATTGTCGAGCTAGACGTAGATAAACGCGACAAGATAACCGACCTCAGGACGTGATCGTGACTAGATTGGCGATGTTTCAGATGAGAACTATGTTCTCGAGGATCGATGAGGCGCAGTCTAGAGATATCAAAGAAAGGTGGGGAATCTTCTTCTGCAAAGGTTATTCGGTTTTAGAACATATGAGAATGGAAATCAATGGAAGATACCGCCTAAAATTCTCTTCCGTACAGAAAATGAAGAATCACGGCTTTTGCTGTAAGGATTCATGGAAAAAAAAAATCTGAAATTTGAAGACAGAGCCATGGGCCAAAAGGGGGGTTTGTCTGAATACATTACACACTTGTGAAAAACACCATAGTCATGGATTATCATGTTCAGAAGATAATCTGAAACATGAATCTCTTTGTCTAGAGGAGAGAGCTTCAAAGGGTTAATGCCTGTGGCTGATACGAGAAGCCATTAATGGTGAGACCTCCATCCACGCAAATGGTCTGTCCTGTTATGTAAGAAGCTGCAGGCAGACACAGAAACACCACCATCGATGAAACCTCTCTCGGTTCTCCGACACGACCCAATGGCTTTCTCGAGATCACCGCCTTCAAGAAGTTGTCGTCTCCTAATACCTGAAAACCCACATGTGAACAGAGAACTAAACAAAGAGAGAAGCTAATAACCCTTTGAATGCTCGGATAAAGGGATAGTATCTTGAGTTACAGTTTCAGCCATAGGAGTTGCAATGAAACCAGGAGCGACAGAGTTAACCCTTATGTTGTCACTCGCCCACTCGCACGCCAGATTTCTCGCTAACTGGTTAACAGCTCCTGCATATATATACACTCACAGATATCACATACCTATGTTCTTGGCAGCTGAATCCATGCATGTACAACAGCTACAACACATGGGAATGTTTTATATCTTTGTACCTTTTGTTGCATTACAGATGGATCCAACGCTTGTAGAGACAATCCCTGCAATAGAGGAGATGAACACAATGTTCCCCGATCCCGAGGCCTTGAGCAAAGGATGTGCGAGCTGGGATAAATGGTAAGCCGACTCGAGGTTTGTGGTAATGTGAAACGAGAAATCTTCTGCAGTGTATTCAGTTGTCGGCTTTACAATACTTGTGCCAACGTTGTTTATCTACAACGAGCGATAAGCGACAATGATACATGCTCTCCTGATGTTTGCCTCTAAGGAAAACTCATAAACTATATGCATTCAACACTTCTTTTGTCGTGATGCTCAAGAACAAACACTATCTGCACCGAAACAAATGGTCGGGAATTACTTACGAGGATGCTGAGTTTCCCGTCGAATGTAGAGGAGACAGTCTGCATCAGTTTCTCTCTCTCGGAGCGAGAGGACACATCACAGACTGAACCGGTAACTTGAAAGCCCTTTGTTTGCCATTTGCGTAAGCATTCGTTAAGCAGAGACTGATTTCTGGCACAAGTATGGACTCTTGCCCCGAAACCTGCAAGTTCCTCCACTATGGCATACCTGAATGACTCAATGAAAAACACCCAAGTCAGAGATCAATGCCATGAGCTCTGTCTGTTCTTTCCTTTTGTCTTCTGAAACTCCTCTGTTCATTCTTGTATCATATAAGATTGGAAAGAAAGAAAAAAAAAATCAAGCCTTTGCCCGTAGGAAACGTTGAAATTCCGTGAGAAATACGAGTAAAAAAGAAGCTGGAATAGAGTGGAGAAGACGAAGACGAACCCGATGCCTTTGGTTCCACCGGTGACGAGAGCGGTCATTCCTTCCAGACTCCATCTCCGGTCTCTGTAGCTCTTCTCCGTTTCGGCCATGGCTGATTAATTAGAGTAACTTAGTCAGAGATGATCACAGGATTTCGCTGCCGTAGGAGATTATAGAAAATAAAGACAGAGTTGAAAGATTACAGCACAATAAATTGGACTTGGTCCAGATAGTGACAGTCATGTAATAATTCAAGCATGCACCAAACGAGGAAAACGAAGGGAGACTACGAGACTTTGGGACCACGGATTTACTTGACATTTTGGAAGAATCTAGTTGGTCTGACAAGACTTTAATGTGTCTGAAATTTTCTGAGTTTTTGTTTCGGAAGATTCTTCTCTGTATCTCGTGATTGAATGGTAGATGATGACAGAGCCATGGCCCAAAATGTGGTTTTACATGAACATGTTACACACACGCACACCCATGAAGAAGAATAACATTTCATACATTAGGGCAATCCACTTCCTCATGTTCTAATGTTTTGACAAGAAACACATATGGTGAAGAAAATCTGAACCCTAATCTCGGAAGAACTTCACGGGTTCAAGCCTGTGGTTGATACGAGAAGCCATTAATGGTCAGAGCTGAAGCTAATGGTCTGTCCTGTTATGTAAGAATCTGCAAGGAGACACACAAATTATGTGTGTGTGTGTGTGTGTGTAACATATTCATGTAAAACCTCACAAATTATGGCTTCCACCCATAGGATTCACGGAAAAAATTAGAAATTTGAACTAAAGGTAGCAACAATGAAGTGGAGAAAATGGAGACTCCCATCTCTTTTATTTTTCTCTCTGCAACTCTTCTCTGCTTCGGCCATTGTTGCATAACAAAGGCATCAAATACATGCATAAATTGTTCATATATCACAGTAATCAGATCCAGATAACAACACCATCATCATATTGTCATCTAAAAAGAGTTTAGTCGGTTTGGTAGGAGAAGCTATTGATGGTGTGACCTCCATCGATCACAATGGTCTGTCCTGTTATGTAAGAAGCCACGGGCATACACAGAAAGGCGACCAATGATGCGACCTCCTCCGGCTTTCCAGCTCGGCCCAATGGTATTCTTGGCAATACAATATTTCTGAAGTTGTCTTGACGGAGATACTGAATACCACATTTTGTAAGAAGAGAAATAGAGGTTATTCAGAGGAAGAAAATATGGACAAGTCATCAGCTTTACATGTTTATTTCTTGTACAAAAGAAAGCATGGAATGAGTTTCATTTACAGTTTCACCCAGAGAAGTAGCAGTGATTCCAGGAGCTACCGAGTTGGCCCTTATGTTGTTGCTCGCCCACTCGCACGCCAGATTTCTTGCTAACTGGTTCATAGCTCCTTCATGTATACATTATGCACACACAGTCAGATACATATTGATGTGAAAGTGTGGCTCATGTCAGTGTTTTTCCGTATAGCATATATAACCACTTCGATTCAAATGAAAGTTGATACGTCATTTCTCTGCTTTTCCTGTTTCGTTTCCAAGTAGATGAGATTTAAAATCCCTCTTGGTTGGTTCTAATCTTAGTTCTTGATTGTGAAAGCTCCGAAAATTAGTGGCTTGGTCGAAGAATGCATACCTTTTGTCGCACTATAAAGGGAAACACTTCCGCATGAAACAACTCCGGCATTAGAGGAAATGAACACGATGCTTCCAGATCCCGAGGCCTTCAGAAAAGGATGAGCAAGCTGGCAGAGATGGTAGGCAGACTCCAAGTTCGTAGAAATGTGAAACGAGAAATCTTCTGCTGTATAATCTATAGTCGGCTTTACATAAGTTGTGCCCACGTTGTTTATCTTTATCACATAAAAACGATACATAAACATAGTGAGCCAAAGGTCTGCATAATGATTCATATATTTTACATTTGATAAACATTACAACATAAGGGCTTGAAATTACTTACAAGGATGTTGAGTTTGCCATCAAATAGAGAGGAAACGGTCTGCATCAGTTTCTCTCTGTCGACCCTAGAGGAGACATCAGAGACTGAACCG